TCCCCCGACCGCCGCTGTTTTGTCGCTGCCTGGGAATCATCCTTCGCTCGCCATGTTTTAATGCATCAGTGACACTCAGAAACAGCAACCTGAGTCGCGCACACGAGAAAGAAAGTTGGCTCTCATTCTGTCGTTCCCCTCGGGATCTGCGACTGGGATTGTAACGACCGCGCCACCTTGTCACGCCTTGCTCGTACTTGCCTGTGCACACTAACTTCCCTTTCCGAAACAGGCATTGCAACACACACCACCACAACCAAATCCGTCACATCATTGGCTCGCAATCCCACCTATCATACCCACGTGACCTCTTCGTCCTTGAACAAACCTTAATTCCCCAGCTTCCAAACCTCGAATCCTCAAACCGGCCGTATTCTCTAAATCACAAACCCTCCTGTCACCCAAGTCCACAAAGGGCGCCTCATTGTCTACACACTAGTGTATCTAAGCGAGTTCGCGGGGGTTAGAACGGAGGGGAGATAGTAGATTCGGCTGAATGTATCACATCACTCCCATCTTGCATTAAACAGAAAAAAAATCGAATTGCTTACTATTTCTGGGGAAAAGAGAGATCAGTTTCGGATGTTCATGCGACCGAAAGCAAGCAAGAACCCTTAAACCGGTTAACAACCTCGCAAAAAAAGGGCGCCTGAGGCGGACAATGTGTCAAAACATTCCGGTTTGAGAAGAATGACAATTTCTGGAACTTGTTAACTAACGTGCCTGACATTCTTTCCTTTTTGGGGGAATGTTTGCGGTTTCTTGCTTCGCTTTGCCTTCTACATTCTGTTTTCTTGCTTTGTCATTTGAAATATACATGGGCCGGGGACGGGTGCATGTGTGTGTGTCACGGTTCTAGATGCGAGTAGATATGGTAAGCCTCACCCCCCTCCCCCCCTTCCCAAAAATAATAGAAACACAAAGTATTTGAGTATGTCGCGTTTAAACCACAGGAAGCCTCAGGATTTGTCCTTTTGTTTATTTTTTCCCGCTTCTCTTGTTCTTTGGAATTACTGAATGACTGGTGTGGTCTTGACTGTGTCAAACTTTGTTGCAAACCCTTTTTTTTTCGTGACGTGTTTTTTTTAGACTTTTTTGCATGGCCTGTCTCTGACCCATCATCCATCATGTCGATCAAAAGGAAGAGAGACAAGCGTTGGATTTGGAAAAACGCCAATTTGGAAGAAAAATGACAATTTTGGCAAGCGACAAGTTGACGTGCGCCTCACTGGGCGACAGGCAATAAGGATTTGACTTTGTGTTACCAGGCGACAAGGAAACAAAAATAGAAAGGCGAAACACAGAGGAGATCGTTATTCACATTTGGTAGAGAAGTGTTGTCGTGCCCGTGGTTAGTAGTATATTGTACAGCAGCCATACGCCGGTGCTACGCCGGCTAAGGCATTTTCCACGCACGCCCCCGTTCGTCATTCATCTGCATTCGTCCCATCTACGACCTCAGGCCCAGCAGGAAGCTGCCGCCGCTTGAGCCACCGCCGTTACCAGCAGCCCCACCAGGCAGGTAGCTGATGTTCGGGTTCCTTGCCAGTATCTGCGCAATGTCCTTTTGAGATTCCAGCCGCCTAATCAGAACAAGGCCATCACCACTCTTTGCCACAGCCTTGCTAATCGTGTCCGCCGCCTCGGCTTCACCCTCTGCGCGAATAACGTTGGCCTGCCTTTCTTGCTCCGCCTTTTCTACAATGAATCGCGCGCGCTCTGCTTCCTGCTGTGCGATTTGCTTCTCTTCAACCGCCTTGGTGAATTCCTTGCCAAACGTCATGTGTGTGATGGAGACGTCTTCGAGCGCAATGTTGAACTCGTTGGCGCGCTTCAGTAGATCGGCGCGAATGCGGTTCGACACGGCCTCTCGCTGAGTAATGAGTTCTGCGGCGTCGAACTGGGCGACAATGGCTTTGAGGACTTCGTTTCCAATAGAGGGAAGGACCCTCTCGTCGTAGTCAAGACCGAGGTTCTAACAACAAATTAATATCTCGCTCACAACAACCTGCCCCTAGCAAGTCAAAATGTTCTTTTTCGTGATTGCATCCTTACCTGGTAGATTTTAGGCAGTTGCTTAACCTCCGGTCGGTGCAACACCCTCAATGTCAAGGTAACCATCTGCAAGTCCTTGCTTCCCGTCGTCGTGCTAATATTCCTCGGCTTAGTTCGAACATCGAACACGACAGCCCTCTGCAGCCATGGAATCAGAAAATGTGTGCCCTCGTTGACGACAGTTTCCTTGACTCCGGACAGACGATCGAAGATGATTGCGCGGGTACCGCCCTTGACGTCGTAGATGGAGGATTGCACCACGCTGGCGCCAATGGCGGCGGGGACGACCCAGCGAAAGAGGGATGTGGGAATCGCGGCCATGTTGGGCTGTTGGGAGGGGAACGACTGGATGGTGGGAGGCGGCAATGGCTCGAGTGCGGAGGATTATGAGAAGTGGATGATGCTTCTACAAGTGGCCCGTGCTTTGCGGCGAACCATGCTCGTGATTGGCGCATTATGACCGTTGCCTGACGGATAGCTATGATCATTGAATGAAGTTATGTTAGTATTCCGAGGCATTGCAAAGCTATTATTGAGCTGTTTGTATGAGTGTACAACAATTTACAATTCATTCCGAGAATCCGCAGCGCATGATAGAGTTGAAAGGCGGGGTTGCAAGTCAGACTGGAGACACTCAAGATGATAGCGCGGGGGCACCCAAGAACGACTTCAAAATGATGTATTCGTAAACGCCGATTATCTTATGCAAGTATGCAACAATTCAAGGTCTCTTGAGCTTATCCTGTGCCACTCCTAGAATGCTCTCCTATCGTCTACAGCCTGTACATAATCCGCTCACTGTTGCTCAATGAAGCCCTTGTGCTCCTTGTGCGCCTTGTACCAGTAGCTATCCTCCTTCTTCGGCCGCAGCTCCTCAGAAAGCTTGTCGAGGATAACTGCCAGTAGCTTCTGACGGCCTTCCTCGTTCTCTGCATCGCGGTTCCATACGGCAATCTGGACCGCGTTCCAGCGAACGCTGTACGAAATGCCACAAATGTCATCATTAAAAGCTTGGCATGGTCAGTAAAGTTTGTAATGACGAAAAACGGCTGGAAATGGAACTTACAAGCTCGCTTCGTTTCAACGGCCCCTTGCAACACATCACCTACAGCAAGCAGACACATCTCGTGCCAGAATTGCGCTGCAAGGTCCTTGCTGACTTTAAAGTACCATGCTCCTCCGCGTGTATTTCGTGGGTCTTCCCATACTGGCTTGACGCCCAAGTGGAAGAGATGTATCGAGTCGCGCAGTTTCAGGTTCTCAACCGGAATGTTGTTGAAGTGCTGGTAGAACTCCTTGACAGACACAATCTGATCGCCCAGAGGCTTGGGGCGTGTGAGATATTCTTCCGACGCCGCTGCCTTGTCCTTAGGCGGTGCTTGCTGTCCTTTTTCGGCCCAGAACATCCACTTGAAGCGGAATTCGGGAACACGTACTGATTTGAAGATGTTGTTGAGCATAGCGGTTCCACGTGCGGGCGATGCGGTTGCCGCCTGCTCTTCAGACGACGCAGCGGGGAGGTTGGAGGTGCTAAGCACAGGGAATCGGCCAGCCATGATGAATGATTGTTGAATAAATTAAGTGATGGAACGACGTATGCTCAAGGGGATTCCTCTTTAAATGCCGAGATGTGATCAAAATCAATCTTAGACTCTTACGTAACCTTGGTGGCGTGGAGACTTTTCAGAGAATAGACACTGGAATGTGGTAGCGAGCAGGAATCCTAATCTGTGCAGTCAGCATTTAAGTAATGGAGGTAAATCGTGACAAAACGAATAGGCATGAAATGTGCCGTGAAACATGGCCGAGGTTGGAAATATCCGGAACTTGAATGCGAGGCAGACCTGGCACTGTTTGCTGGGTTTGAAGGCAGAAAGATGTTTGAGGGTGAGCAATTGCAAAGCTCCTACATCTCCGCCTAGCCATCTGAACGCTGCAAAGCCTGAAACGGTAGTGGTGCGGACATGTCATTGGATAACACGTGAAGACAACTCGATAATGTAGGTATCTGCACGTATAACGAACGGATGGTGAAACCATGGCTGAGGAAGATACATGACTGATATCAGACATCTCAAGGCTGTCGGGATGAAAGTCCTCACACCAGGCTTCCGCCAAGCACGCTCGACAGACAAATAGCCAGAGGAGACAGCGAATTGAAGGGGATTAAGTGGCCGACTAAAAGAATGATAGAAAACCTAAAACATACCTAACACTAGTCCGCACGTTTCTCTTGTGACCTAACAGCAACACGTTGACACCCTGATGGTAATGCTCGTCGAACAGCTGAAAGAGGGGCAATTCCGAGCGCACCGAGAGTTTACTCGCACGTGAAGAGGTGTTCAGCAGCAACAGCGGCTCAGCAGACAGAAAAATAAAAGGACTGGCGGAGAAGACGCTGGGAGAAGTGAATATGTTGTAAGGCAAGATGGGGGACCCTTTAAAGAAGCTCGACCGGAGAGAGAAGGTCATCCATGCAGACGCCCGCTCTGACTACGTTTCAAGACCCCGTTTCAAGACCCCTGCTGACACCAATGGGAATCGACTTGCGGCCTGAGGCCAACGTACAACGTAACAAGCCACACGGCCGGTGTCGGTATGCACTTCCATCCGATATGCATTCAGATAATGCCGACTATAGGCAGTCCTCTACCCAGAAGTAAATATGTAATGCTGATCTTTGTCGATTAAAGGATGCTAGCTAGGGCGGGCGGGGGTGACGTAGCAAAGTCCGACCGGTCTATCTTTTTGCGCACGTTCGGCGCACCCGTTCCGCAAAAGAATGGTTCAGCAGCGCGCGCCCAAACTTTTGCACAACTTTTTTTTCTCTGGAGCCGTCCACTCTGTATTAAGCACAATACCCGTGTTGCCTTTTCCCTCTGCATAACCATTCTCTCTGACGCCAAGGTCACGACCCTGTTTGATTAATACCGCCGAAGAAAGCCATGGCACAGTACACGCACGACTCAGTTCCGCATCGCATGAAGCCCAGCTCCTCGCCGTCCATGTCGTCGCAATCCGCCCTCGCATCCACAAATGCTACCGACGATACGGCGACAAACGCAAGCGACTATGGCACTTCAGACACAGACAGCACGCTCTCTGAATCCAGCGAAGAGCCCAGCAGCGACGAGAGCTCGAGCGAAGACGAAGATGAAGATGACGACGGCGAAGATACAGAAATGGAGCTAGACGAAGCAAAAGGCGCAGACGGCGTTGTCAACCTTCGCGCAAACAGAGGCACAAAACCCATCATGAAGCTGACAAAGGCCGAAATGGGACCAGATATTAGAGGGTTTCTCAAGGACTTTTTGCCGCGCCTCAAGGCCGCCAATGAAGAGCTTGAGGCACAGAAGCGGGCGGGTACGTTAAGGAGATTGGATGCTGAGGACCAGGAAGAAGGCGAGCCGTACATTGAAATGGTGAGTTGTTGTGCCTGTTTGGCAAAATCCAAAAAAAATCCAAAGACTAGTCCCAAGTTTTTTTTTGCTAATCAAACGACTATAGGATCTCGGACTCGGTGTATTGGAAGAGAAAGATCCAAACGCAGCAGAGAGCGACGCAGAAAGCACGAGCGACGCCGAAGACGAAGACGGCAACAAAGAAAAGGATGTCTTGGGGAAACTACTGGGGCGACGAGAAAAACCTGATCCGGCCAAAATTGAAGTTCTTCCAAACACGACCGGCTCATGATGCGACGAACCCGCGTTTGAGACCCGAGGTTTCCGTTTAGGGAAAAAAATCTCAGGAAAGCACCACGCCTGGCAATCGTGTACCTGTCGAAGCGGCGGAACATTGATACCCCCAATGCCACAATTCCCAGCGCACACCCGACCCGACGATCCCCCGCGTGCGCCATTCACCCACTTCCTTCGCTGGCGCCTCAATGTCCCAACCCACCCTTCGCCCACGTCGCATCCGCCTTCTCATGCACCCGCGGCACCTCAATATACTCCCTGACCCCCGCCTTCCTCCTATAATCACTCCCAAACCTCTGATCCCTCTCCCTCATCCTCTCCTCAAAATCCGGCATCTGGTCCTCCGCCGTATAACTCGTCATGAGCTGCGGAGGACCCAACGGCAACTTATCGCCTCGGTCCGTCTGCCACAAGTGGTAGACTTTACCGTAAAGTTGGATCACTTCTTCCATCTCTCGATTCTCGGCGATCTCCCAGGCGGCTTCGGGCATGGACGCGGGACGCGGCATTATTAGCATGCCGGATTTTACTTCGAAGACGTGGGAGTGCCAGAGCTCCTGTTCGGAGGCGGGCAGGGTCTCGTAAAGTCTCGGAGAGATCATATATTCTGGGTTTGGCTGGTCAGTAACTACTATTACTACTACTTTGGAGCAGAGGAGATGGGTGGGGAGGCAGCGCGCACCAATGCCAATAATGCGAGCCCCTGGCTCAGGCGAGTCATAGAGAATACACTGCCGCACTTCATCATTTAGATGCGCACAGTAGTGATTCGCTTCCACAGCAGCCCGCTTGGGATCGTCGGCATAAGCGTGGAACGCATTCAGATGTGCGCAGACGCGCTTTACAGGAGCGAAGTTCTAGAAAATAATCAGTCGTCGTATTGTAATAAAGAACCTGTTGTTGTTGTTTTTGGACTGCAAAGTTTACCTGAGTTGCTCCAGCGCCTGTTTCGAGGGCTTTGTTGTATGTGCTTTCTGCTTCGCCGGCGGTTTTGTTATTTACGGGGAGGGAGTCCATGGTGTTGTTGTATCGGAATTGACTGAGGTGAAGGGAAATGATTCTGTTGATTGAATTGGCGCTTGGTGTCTTGAAGACTGTTTCCATGGAGAAAAGAGTGGTAGTATCGCAACATGAACAGCAATTGACGTCATGATGACTTTTGATTGGGTCAAGGATGGATCCCTGCATGAAGTGTGTGTTCAGCAGTCATGGGTTTTATGATAGAGCAATCGTACGTGGAGTTGGATTGCATATTTGTTTATTCTGCAAAGTATACTCGCTGCCTCATGGGCCCATCGTTTTGGAACCTCAGCTCTAAAGCTATACGATCTAAGTTACAGCTCAATAGAAATCAATCGTACTTCTTCTTGATATATTCAAAACTAAAAAAAAAAAAGTTTACAAAATGTATCTTTCCATTGAATTTTTTTTTGACCAAGAAAAGATTATCATACCGATGTAATTAGGAAATAAAAACTCGAAAGGTACTACTAGCACATGGGAAACTCTTCAAGTATCAACAAACATTCTCTATCAAACCCAACCAACAAAAAAAACCCTCACCACAACTCTCACACTCTAGACTCAAATCTTTCTAACCAAAACCCCCACCCAAACCTTAACTCCAACCCACTTCTCCCCCCGTCCCCCAACAACCCCACCCTCCAAATCCCCCCTCCTAACTTTCCTCTCCCTAACCCCCAACACCTCAAACCCACTCTTCCCCGCCTGCTCCACCACCTCATCCACCTCATGCACAAAACTACTCCCCCTAACCTTCACCCCCGTCTCGCTCACGAACCCCGCTTGTCCACCCAACCTCCCCATTTCATGGTGCATATTGGTAATCAGCGCTACACCAGACGGGAGAAGAAGGGAGTACAAGGTAGAGAAAAAGGTGGGGAGGGGGATATGTTCGAGGACTAGGGTGGAGAGGATGGCATGGACGGGGGCGGGGGCGGTGGGGATAGGGGAGGAGGAAGAAGAAGGAGAAGAGGAAGAAGAAGAGGAAGAAAAAATGTCGCAACAGTGCAATTCCCAAGTTTCCGAGGAAAAAGAGGAGAGTTTCAAACGAGCTATGGCGAGCATGGCGGAAGAGAAGTCGATGCCGATGATTTTAGCTCGAGGCTGGGGATGAGGGTTCTGGGCGTAGTGGCGGAGGAGTTTGAGGGTATTGCGGCCGGTGCCGCAGCCGAGGTCGAGGATGCGGAGAGTGGTTTCTTCTTCTGAGGAGGAGGAGAAGTTTGGGGGGTTGGGATGGGGAGTGGGGATTTGGGAGAGGAAAGAAGGGAGGAAGGTGGCTAGTTCGATGTCGTCGATGGCTTGTAGCATGTTGCCGTCCGAGTCGTATTGAGAGGCCCATTGGTTGTATGCGTCTTGTGTGGGTACGTGGTGGATTAGCATCTGGGGTCGCGACTGGATGGTATTTGCTTGGTCTGATTCTATAGTTGAAAAAGATGTGTTTGCGTCAATGGTGGGTGGTTTGACATCCACGAGGGAAGTGTCGAATGTCATGTCGATGGTCGTTGGCTGTGTCATTTTTATCGTTTGGATATAGGGAGATTTGAAGAGAAAGAGCCCGAGAATTTGAGTTGTCGTTGTTGTTGTGCTGGATGGGTGCCTGACACCATCTATATAGTTGTAGTCTCTTGGCCAATGAAGCTTCTCCGCGCCCTGCCCATGCTGAACTTGTATTCAGAATTGCCTAATCGGGAAATATGTCGTGCAGGCTCCCGTGACATGACTCACATCTGCGCCCTCTGCCGTGTTCTGGCTCGCACTAAAGAACATTAACCATATGCTTACCTTTCATCTCATCACAGCTCATTGTTCCAAGATAGAGTCCAAACAATCCACATACGTACCAGCAGTGTCCTACATGGCGTCTACATCTAATTGTTAATATTACAGGTCGTCAAGTGTACATACAATCCCTCGAGTCTATCCTGACTTCTCAAAATACTTGGTCAAAATCCGCTCTCGATGCGTGACCAGGCGTCTGCATGCCATTAGCGCGTCGCGCAACCGCGTGTCCACCCATCCCTTGCCCAGCTTATCATCCAATAGCAAATGTGTGTATGCGAAAACACTCGCATCGAACAAGCCCGGCCTCTGCGCTCCAAAGAACCAATCGTCCTTTCCCAACAGCGTTTCCAGTGCAGCAAAAGCCTCGCTTGCCTGGTTATACAATGTCTCGTCGCTGATGATGCTGGAGAATTTGGCGAGTTCGGCTTCGGCGGCTAGGCGCAGTTCGCGGGATATTACCAGACGTACAAACGAGTTGCGCGAGGTCGGCAGGATATACAGAGGCTCGGCAATGGTTGTGGAATTCTGAGAGAGATACACAGCGTAGAGCTAGCATATGTTAGTCATAGTCCAAGCATTCCTTTTTATCCAGACGTACCCAAGCTCTGCGTATCCGGTGATCTATCAAACTCAAGTATGCCTCGTATTGCGCATCTCCTGGCTCTTCAATTGCCTTGTCGCTATTGCTCATTGCCCAGCGCTGCAGCTTATTCGACGGTACAGGTTGTGGTTGCTTGGTTGAATCTGACGAAGGGAGAATAAATGGCAAAGAGCCACTTGGAGACGCATGATTATTCGCTGAGGCTATCCGGAACGGTATCTTGGAGAACTTGAGATATGCCTGCGACGTGGTGAGCCTGTGGCGGGGTAATGAATGCGCAACCAGCTACTGACCTGCCATTTCAGGCATGCTGGGTTGTAGGATGGTGCCCCTCGAAGAGCACCTTCTTCTGTAGTGAAGACGTACAGCACATGTGCATTGGGGTGTTGTGGTGCTCGCTGTGGGAACTCGTTGACGGGGTATGTGAGCAGCGGGAATTGGTCGAAAAGTTGCTTTATCGGCGCAGGGACAGAGAATATGCCACCCGACGATGGTGGCTCCCTACTACTCGCAGCAGCAACATTGCTTCTGCCGGACCGCGACATGCTAGCCGTGTGTGGTGATGGCGGCGATGATGTCGCAAAAAGTTGACCATGCGGCGCCGGAGCCGAGGACAACGCCCGCCGATCATCACCACCAGGCACCTTTGCGTCATGCAGGGAAAATGGGCCAAACTCATCACAACAAGCACAAACGAGTCAAGTCTACATGCAAAAATATTTGTCAAACGAATCAAATTCTATACATTGGTTGATATCTTTCTTCAAGCGGGCTGCCGCTTATTAATTTCGTCACTCATCACAAGGCTATACTCGAATCCTCTGCCTCCAGACCTAATCCTACACTACCAAACACTTAGATAAGCTGCTGGAAAGCGCGGTCAAGAGGAGATCGCAGAGGCTTGACCTCCTTGTAGAAGTCAATGGTGGCCTTGGCACGCTTAGCAATACCCTCGGGGGTAAACTCGAACTTCTATAATGGGTATTAGCATTTGTCTCAAGCATTTCAGGCGTTCAATTATTCTTACCTTGTACACCTCCTTGTATGGGCCAGAAGCACCGAAGCGGTTCAGACCAAACTGCTCGTGAGAGTACTTCTCCCAGCCCATGGTGGACATGACCTCAACACTGAGCGATGGGATGCCACCGGGGATAACCGACAGCTTGTAATCCTTATCTTGAGCGTCAAAGACCTCGAAGCAGGGCAGCGAAGCAACACGGGCAGTGATTCCCTGCTCCTTGAGGGTCTTGACGGCCTCAAGGCAGAGAGAAACCTCGGAACCAGTGGAAACGAGGGTGATCTGGGCGTCCTTGTCCTCAAGAGCAACGTATCCTCCCTTGATGGCCTTCTCGAGTGTTGAGCCCTCAAGCTGAGGCAGATTCTGGCGGGTAAGAGCAAGGATAGATGGCGTGCCCTTGGAGGTGAGCGCCATGTAGTAAGCGGCAGAGCACTCGTTTCCGTCGGCTGGGCGCCACACCATCATGTTGGGCAGAGCACGGAAGTGGGCAAGAGTCTCAATAGGCTGGTGAGTAGGACCGTCCTCACCAAGACCAATCGAGTCGTGGGTAGCAACGTAAATGACACGCTGGTGTGAGAGCGAAGACAGACGGGCGGCACCAGCAGCGTATGAAACGAAGTTGAGGAAAGTACCACCAGCGGGGATAATGGTTCCGTACGCGGACAATCCGTTCATGACAGCAGCCATGGCGTGCTCACGGACACCATATCGCAGGTATCGGCCAGACCACTCGCCAATGCCAAGATCCGGGGGCTGGAAGTCGATGGCCTTCTTCCACCTGGTGTTGTTGGAGCCAGTCAGATCGGCAGAACCGGAGAGAAGCTCGGGAACAACGTCGTGGATGGCCTCCAGAACAGACTCGGAAAGCTTTCTTGAGGCAATCGCAGGGTCGCTAGGCTTGTATGTGGGAAGGGCCTTTTGCCAGCCCTCAGGGAGGTCGCGGGTCAGACGACGGGTGAGGTCAGCGTGAAGCTCCTTGTGCTCCTCGCCGTACTTCTTGAAGAGCTTGTTCCACTCCTCCTCAGCAGCAGCACCCTCGGCTGCGTGCTTGTGGTACATGTCGTAGACTTCCTGGGGGACCTGGAATGTCTTCTCGGGGTCGAAGCCGAACTTTTCCTTGACCTGCTTGCAGTCGTCGGCCTTGAGGGGGTTGCCGTGAACACCGCCGGTACCCTGGAGAACGGAACCGAAACCGATGGTGGTGGTGAGCTTGATCATCGAGGGCTTGTCGGTGACCTTCTTGGCCTCAGCGATAGCCTTCTCGATGCCCTCGAGGTCAGAGTCGCCGTCAGGGACGTGCTGGACGTGCCAGCCGTACGCCTCGAAGCGCTTAGAGACATCCTCAGTGAATGCGCATTTAATGTCACCGTCTGCAAAAAGTTAGATCCAAGTCGCTATTTGCCTAATTCGCCAGAAACTTACCAATGGAGATGTGGTTGTCGTCGTAGATGGCAATGAGGTTGCCGAGCTTCAAGTGGCCAGCCATTGAAGCAGCCTCGCTGGCAATACCTTCCATAGCGCAGCCGTCACCGAAGAAGACGAATACTGAGTTGTTGATCAGCTCGTAGCCGGGCTTGTTGAATACGGCTGCGGTGTGCTTCTCGGCAATGGCGAGACCGACGGCATTGGCGAAACCCTGACCGAGAGGGCCAGTGGTGACTTCAATACCGGGGGTGTCGTGAGACTCGGGGTGGCCGGGTGTGATGCTGTCGATTTGCTGCGACAAGTTAGAATTTGCCTTTTTCGTAGAAAATGCATGTACTTACACGGAACTTCTTCAGGTCCTCAATGCTAACATCGTAGCCGAAAAGGTGGATGAGCGCATACTGGAGCATGCATCCGTGGCCGTTGCTGCGTTCAAGTTAGATATATCCCGAGCAATGTATAGGGCGGATGCCACTGGAAACTGCAAAAGCCAGAAGAATACGTACGAAAGGACAAAGCGATCGCGGTTGACCCAGTTGGGGTTCTTGGGGTTGAACGTCATGAACTTGTTGAACAAGACGTGGGCCACCGGGGCCATGCCCATGGGCGCACCCGGGTGACCCGAGTTGGCCTGGAATGTGGCATCGACCTGTAAAGAAGCAAAAAGTTAGCCATTGAGTCGTTCCGCAGCCTCAAATTCGTGATCGGTGCTTGCAAAGCTAGCTTGCTTGCTGTGTGGGAGAGAAGCTTGCGGCGAGCGGGGCAGCTGCGCAAGCATAGCGGGGGAGAACAAGAAGCGGGGGAGAACAAGAGGCAAGAGAGACGTACCGCTAGGGTTCGGATGGTGTTGATGGCAAGCTCATCAGTCTTTCCGTACGGCATGATGGGCAGACTGTCGATGAAAAAAAGAATTGAAGAGAAAAGAAAGAAGGTTGCGGGAGACAGCGAGCTACGGTGTTTAGGTTTTGTAGGGTAGTGGGGGTGGGTGCTAAGGCCGTCATGCCTGCCTCAGATATGATGCACCAAAAGTGGACATGTAGGTGGGGTCCTCTGAGCCAGCCTGATTACATCAATCAGTCCCACTCACAGCCCACTCTCTCTTGTCAATGCAAGCGGATAGAGTAAGCCGCAATTGCGCTGACCAGGACACCCTAATTGCCAGCCCGGCCCACTGACTGTCTCTTACTAACCTCTTGCCTGCTCTGTCTTTGCGTCTCTCTTTCGCCACGCGCCGAGAAGCACCGTATTCGGGTCACAGTACGCCGACGGCCACGGCCATTGTCGTTTTTTTCTATGGCTAGTTTCATCTCCTTCTCTTAGCCAACCGGCCAGAGCAAAAGCCGACAACAAACCACAATGTAATTCTTCCGGGCGCCTATGGCCGACACACAACCGAGATCGGCGCCGCGGCCGAAACGCTGTTTGAGGCTCAAAGTCTGCTCTACGGACGAAGCCTCCTCTGGACTAGAGCCGGTTATTTAACCTATTCTCCGAGGGCGCAGTCAACAACTGCGACAACGTGGGGTTTGGTGTTGATATTGTAATTAGCCCTAAGCGGGACTCGGAGCCCATTTTACCCTGTTAATACCCTGATAAACACCAACGAGAGCCTGCGCGCCAAGCACCAATCGATCCATGTATAGCGACACGCGCGCCTGTGTGCAATGAACCAAGGATCAATGAGTAAATATGTAGAAATAACGCTAAGAAAAGTACAATCAGGTCTAAGGTTCAGTCCCCGCGCCCCATTTCCCGCCAAATTAGAAAATTGTATACACAAGACAAACGAAAGGGTATATGTATAGTCAAGAATCAAGTCGATCGTCCGCTCCGTGTATGCTGGACTTCTCACCTTCGCACACCATCTCCCCACCCAACCTCCAGAAATAGATCTTCACCCTTCTTCCTCGGCGTCAGCCTTGGGACCCATACAGGACTCTTAAGCCCATCTACGTCAAAGTCAACGTTGACGTCTCTTCCAATGTTCACTTCTGTCATATCCTCTCTTTTCCTCCTCACATTCAGAGGCCTCACAGCCTGCTCCTCGTACATGACCGGGCTCTTACCCCACGCCCCGCTCTGCACACGGCTTTTTCTATCAATGCTATTCTTGGAGGCGGGTGTCATGTTCCATGACTCGGCGCTGATGCTGCGCACATGAGAGCGGCCGTTGTTACGAGGCGGGCTGACGACACGGCGCGGCGGCGATGTGAATGGATCACGATGCGGACTCTCAAGCCGGGGCCGCGATTCAAGAAGAAGCGGGGGAAGAGTGTTGTTTCGTTTATGAAGAAGCGACGATGCATCTGGAACTCGGTGTGGACTCTGGAACCTGTGCTGTTGTGGGCTGCGTGATACTAGCTGATTCGAGGCTCGCGGCACCTTCGGATACCGTAAATTGGAGATTGGAGATTCCGCAACCGGCGACAGTGGCGGTACATTGCTGTCGTCGGAAAGCTGTTTCTGGTCGTCTTCGTCTTCAGGCGTCGGATCGTTGGGATCGACTGTTTCAAAGGACGTCTGGCTAGACAACGAATCACGCTGGTTCGTCCAAGTCCGAGAAAGCGTACTAGATGACTTCTTTGGCCTGATCTCGACTGTTTTGGGTGACTCTTTAGGCCGAATGATGCGCGTAGGGCTAGCCTTAGGCGCCTCACGGCTTCGATGGTTGGAAAAGTAATAGTCAATGATATCTCCAGAGGTGCTGTCTTCGCGCGAGCTTGCAGTTGTAGCTTTGGACTGGTATGAAGTAGCTGTGGATGGTTGCTGGAAAGGCGACGCGAGACGTGGGCGTGTCGCGGGCTGCGGACGAGGTTGTGGCGTACTATTCCCAGGCAGTTCTGCAACAACCGTCCGTTTCGGTTGTTGTACTCCCTTGTTGGACGGAATTTCTAGAAACAACTCAGAGTTCCGGCTGTTCTTACGGGCGTTGCTGTTGTTGGAATACGGCGCTATCCTAGCAGGTTGCAAGGAGCGGATGGGTAGGACTGGCACTTGAGGCGTTGGCGGCACTGTCGAGGATCTCCGATGCAAGCTTGGTTCATCCTCTTCAAAAACAGTCTCTTCTGTCATTGAACTGATAGGGCGTAGAACATGGCTGGTTTGTAATTGGTTATTACCCGGAATTGTCTTCTGGATCGCTGCCGGTGCTGATTTCTTTGGGGCTAGAGGATTTCCATCCAGCTCTGCGCTTATAGCCACGCCTATTTGATCCAATAGCAATGAGGAATTGGATGAGCTGTTGGAAGTTCCTACTCCAAGCCGCTGAACTGGACGGACTCCTTTCTGGCGTCTCCCCTGAACGAGTGCCGGTGCAGGCACGGGTGGAAGCTGCATTGCAGAGTCGGAGTTGCCTTGTACAGGAACGTAATGTGAGAACCGTGTCGAAAACGCTTTATCCTGCTGTCCCCGGCCCTTGTCATCGATAAGCATAGTGTTTCGCTGCTCCTTCCGTCTTCTTAGCCACACGCTCGAAGCCATGAGCCCGATAGCCAAGACGAACGCAGCAACTGCTGCTACTGACAGCCCAGCAATCTGTGCAGGTGTCATTCTTGGTTTGTCATCTGCAGCTTTGGCGACTGGAGCCGACGTGGGCGTCGCTGAAGAAGTAGACGACGAAATTAATGAAGCACTATCAGCGAAAGCAGACTGAGTTGAACTGGTCTGGCTGGGCCGAGTTGAAGTGAGGGTTGGGGTCGTGGTTGTGGTCGGAGTCGTCACAGACGGTGTCGAAGATGGCGATGCCGTAGAGGTCACGACGTAGGTGAGAACACTCTTGGTTGGCACAACGGCGTATGCCTGTCCCAGACATATTCCGTAGGCCGCACTTAGATAGTCTTTGGAGTCCTGTGTTGGGCACGACAAGTAGATACAACCTAGGGCCACTTCACCGAGTGACTCTCCCGCGGTACTATAACGAGAGCAAAGACACTGAAGACTTTGTTGGCCAGAGCATGCCACGGGAAACCTTTCGTCCAGCGAAGTCCGTAGGCATGATTGTGCACAAGATGGTACGTTTTCTTGAAGTGATTGAGGAAGTGCTTGTGGTGTAGGAGTGACAGTAGGAGCTGCCAGCAATGGCGAAGCTAATATTAAAAAGACTGATGGTATCCATGGCCTTTTAGAATGGCGCAAAAGCATAATTGTACAATATCTAGGCGAGCATAAGCTACATGCTCTCAGATCGGAGCAAGCCAGAGAGTGTACTCACTAGGAGATCTAGACATGAGGGCAGATGCAAGGAAGCGCTGGACCTGCAGCGAAAGGAGGCAAGGAAATTGAAGGAGAAAGACTCAAGGAAATTCGTAAAACGTCTTTGGCCTCATGAAGTTTTGTCGAAGCATTCAAGTTAAGCCAGCGGCGGCTGGTAGGCTGCCAATATGTATTGGCATCTTTGCCAGCCGCCGTGTCGGGGCGGTGCCTGAGCAACCGCTGATACGGTACATTGGGGGCATACCGAGGCCATTGACACCCATGGTAAGCGCTCACGGATTGAATACAGAATGATTGACCGAAAAGGCGTCGGTTACACAGTGTGGTGAGGCGAAGATGCTATTCTAGGCGCTGGCATGCTGCGCTAAGCGCTGAGGAACAAAACTAGTCTACCACGTCAGCCAGTAGTTGCACGGCATCGGCAAAGTCGTTGCGCAGAACCCCAAAGCGAGTCTTGGCCTACGTGCATGCAGGAGACGAAAATACATTGCAGTTGTGCATTATTAGTGACAATGCGGGACTCTGCGTACCAGCACACGTCCGCAGTTGGTCCATATGATGCGATACTCGACTGACGGTGCCTCTGCGTTGTCAATGGTTGCAACGTCACCTGACCTACACGCATCCAGATGGAATAGTGTAGTAATTGATTGCAGCTTTTTGGATGTTGGATACTCGATACCCGTCTAAGCATGGACCTGCATCGGGGAATGGACGGAACCTGCAAAGCGCCCTACTAAACCCACTCCAGTTGAGTCGACATCACGTGCTTGGCAATTGCGATGGTACCTGGCGGCTAGAGTTGCCTGCGGGTGTGCAGATCAGATGCAACGATCCCCGAACGACAAGCGGATGATGAGATCGCGGCTATGGTAGTGTACGAGAAGGTCCGCAGACGAGACGGTCCGATGTTGTGGGCATAAGGACTTGACGAGTCAGAATGACGCAGTTGGAACTTTTATGTTGCGTAGCTTGTGGAGCTTCAACGGTGTGGAAGGACCGAAACAGAAGAATCTCAGATATGCAGTGTACATGTAGTACTTACACCCACACCTAAGATAAGACGGCAATTAAAAAAGACCATGCGCGTGTACGAGCATCGTCAAGATGATGATCAGCTCAAAATGACTCTGACATGCTCTGCGCGCACGCAATGAGAAGCACGGGCGATCGATCGTGAGCAATCTGGAGCGATTACTTACCTACAACAAGGCGGTGACAAAAGTTAAAAGCACCAGCGTGAGCGTTGTCACAATGGTAGAGCGTCTGTTGGGTCGATACGTCGATACCATGCCCCCTTTTCCGCCGAATGCTCACACATGGCCATGGCTTCCACGTGTGGTTCGTGGATCGTCCCGCGTGTTCGAGTCAAGATATCGAGACCAAAGCCGTAGCTCTGAATGCATTATCCTGGCGAAGAAATGGAAGGGTCTGGGTAGTCGGTTGTTGGGGGGCCTAGGGGATCGATAATGGGTTCGAGATGCAGAAAAGGTCCATCGAACGGTCAGTAGCCTTACGCGTTCACAGGAGCTGATCAGCGCCCTCGAGGCAAGGCAATTGCCACCTGCACCCGGCGCTGAGGCAAGATGACGACGGGACATGGTTTACTTTGACCGTTAGGATAGCCAGAGTGGTTGATGGAACCAGAGACAGGCATCAGCGGCAATTGGCTCTGGCATGCACGAGTCGGGGAGATGAGGGGGGGATGTGACGACGGAGGTTTGGCGACTGTAGGCGGCCTTTGAAGGCTAGCCCGATGGGGTCAAGCCCCAATAGAAGGCATGGTCCAGGCTCAGTGGAAGCGAACGGCAAGTGGCTGGCGCAATCGAGTAGCACAGCAGAAGATTTTTTTTTCTTCTGTGTGAACATAAGCGCAGTAGCAGATAGGGAGGCGGACAGGGAGGCAAGATATACTGGGTGGATATGCAGCAGCAAATGCAGGTAGGACAAGGCAGAAGGGAGCGGGCGTGCAGAGGTGGAGGCGTGTGGCTGCATGGGGCGGAGTAAGACAAGGTTTCGAGCCGTGCTTGGGGTCTGCTGGGGCTCCGAGCGTCGGCCTACTCTTAATTCTATGGGGCCTTCATTTTCCACAAAACCTTCTAGAAGCGTAGCCAGACAAAAGTCGGGCGGGATGAGTTCGGGAGTTGGGTGGGTGGACAGCCCTTCCATGTCCAACGGGCACGACAGGCGCGGAGCCGATTGCTAATCAGAGATGGACTACTACTACGGCGAGCCAGGGGAAGACGGGCGAGAGGGGAAAGGATGAGCGAGCCAGTGAGAGAGCAGACGGGCGGGCGGCCATGTAGGTACCATGGCGGGTTCCTGGAAGCGGAGAGGTGGGCAGGTAGTGTGTCGTGAGTAGAGTGTGCGGGCCGGGAGCGTTGGTCTTGGGTTGGGGGGGATTTGTTGTGTTGTTATTGCTGTTGTCATTGTTGTTGTTGTTGGAGAGTGGCTACTTGGGTGCAGAGGCAGAGAGACGGACAGCAAAACAACGGCAGAGACATGCCGGAGACATGGACAGAGACAGGCAGCGGCAGGCCATGGCAGCGGCAACAAGAGTAACAGCAGGTGTAGCAGCTAGGCCGCAAGCAGGAGGGTTGGCCGCTCATGGCCGGCAGACACGAACAGGCAGGTGTCGGAGGGTTTGCGTGTGTGTGGGCTGTGGGCTGCGTGTGGGCTGCTGTGGGCTGCGCAGTGGTGCCGTCGTGCTGGTCTTGCCATGGTGCCTGTGGTGCAGCAGCAGAGAGTGGCCCGCGCCTGCCCAGCTAGACTCTGGTGGCCCTTCCCTTCCAGGATGGCACCGCTCCATTCCGGCAAGCGCGTCTCCTTTCGCAGCCTTCTTCAAGCCCTCATCATACAATCCTTTCGTTCTTTGCTTCTCCCAAACGTCGTCACCCACCTGCCGGCTCCCACAATCCTCTGCTGCAGCCAGCGACTCCCGCCCGTTGTCCTGCCTCCCGCCGCATTTGCTTGTTGCTGTTGCTGCAGTCTGCATTTCCCAACCAGCCAGCCCAACCGAGCCCTCGCCTCGCCTCGCCTCGCCATTGCAGAACCACCCCCCCAGTCGATCCTTCCCCCCCGAACCGACCGTGCAGCAACCCTGAAAGACCTCGGAGCGAAGCGAAGCGAGCCTCGTCCTCCATACGCCAGCCATCCCTTGACACCCTCTTCGTCTTTTACCCCTTCCCCGTTTGATCTCAACACACACGCCCACGTCCACGCGCCCAAGCACTCTCGCAATTGCGACCTAGTCTTTTGTAATAACAGGTGAGCATCTTTTTTTATGCACGCAATCTCGCCCTCGCGATTGCACTCGACCTCGCCGCTGTCGCCGCCGCTGCTGCTGCCGCCGCTCTGCCATTGCGACAGCCTTGCTGCTTACACTATCGCTCCTCCCTCACCCGGCCAAGCCCGCCTGCGCACTGCTCCACTCGTGCATCGCCCGCTGCCGCTGCACATTGACTCTTTGTTGACATTGTCCACCAGGTTTCCGTGTTGGCCGGCCTCGACGGAACATCGCTACCTACCTTAACCCTAATCACTACACCGGACTCCCCTAACCGCCACCATGGGCTGCGGAATGAGCACAGAGGAGAAGGAGGGAAAGCAGAGAAATGAGGAGATTGAGAACCAGCTCAAGCGCGACAAGCTGATGCAGCGCAACGAGATCAAGATGCTGCTCCTCGGTCAGTATTGCGCACCGCCTGCAACTGCGACATGCACAAGCTCTAACACCATGTAGGAGCCGGAGAATCTGGAAAGTCGACCATCCTCAAGCAGATGAAGCTCATCCACGAGGGCGGCTACTCGCGCGACGAGCGAGAGTCGTTCAAGGAGATCATCTTCAGCAACACGGTCCAGTCGATGCGCGTCATCCTCGAGGCCATGGAGTCGCTCGAGCTCCCGCTTGACGACCAGCGCGCCGAATACCACGTTCAGACCATCTTCATGCAGCCTGCCCAGATCGAGGGCGACAGCCTGCCACCGGAGGTTGGAAACGCCATCTCGGTTCTCTGGAAGGATGCCGGCGTGCAGCAGTGCTTCCAGCGCTCGCGCGAGTACCAGCTTAACGATTCGGCCAAATAGTGAGTCCCGTGCCAATTTTACCTATGCATCGTCACTGACCATTTTAGCTACTTCGACTCGATTGACCGCATTGCCGCGCCCGATTACATCCCCAACGACCAGGATGTCCTCCGTTCGCGTGTCAAGACGACTGGTATTACTGAGACTACCTTTATCATTGGCGATCTCACCTACCGCATGTTCGATGTCGGTGGTCAGCGATCAGAACGTAAGAAGTGGATACACTGCTTCGAGAATGTCACCACTATCCTGTTCCTGGTCGCCATCTCCGAGTACGACCAGCTGCTGTTTGAAGATGAGACTGTCAACCGTATGCAAGAAGCCCTTACATTGTTCGACTCCATCTGCAACTCGCGGTGGTTTGTCAAGACATCCATCATTCTGTTCCTCAACAAGATTGATCGCTTCAAGGAGAAGCTTCCTGTCAGCCCAATGAAGAACTACTTCCCCGACTACGAGGGCGGCCCAGACTACGCGGCTGCATGCGACTACATTCTCAACCGATTCGTCTCGCTCAACCAACATGAGACGAAGCAAATCTACACGCACTTTACCTGCGCCACGGATACTATGCAAATCCGATTCGTCATGGCTGCAGTAAACGGTACGTAACGTAACTTTATTTTTGTGGCGCTCGACACTAACAGTTTTTTGCAGATATTATAATTCAGGAGAACCTGCGGCTGTGCGGCTTGATATAAGCACGGGAATGACTGAGTCTACGAACCTCTTTCACCTTGAACTTGTATCACAGCTTGTATGCCTCATGTCCTTTTACAGGCGTTGTGGACTTTGCTTTGCATGCTTGCGCTTCTGTCGAGAAATGGCTTGCTTTCGGCCCGCACCGCTCTCTCTTTGATACCCTGCAGGCGGGCCGGAGACGCCATGGATTCACCATCTGCGAAGCGGTTATTTCTTCTTATCTTTTTTTTTCCTTTTTTTCCTTCTCCCTTGAACATCTTTCTCCTGGACAAAGAGAGATTGGGTATTGGAACCGCCTGTCCCCTTTGGTACCGAGAAAGTATTTCTGTGGTATCATTGAGCCGACGCGCGTGTATGTGTGTGTGTGTAGCAGCTGCCAAAAGAAGGGGAGGGGAGAGAGGGAGGTTTCCTCATTTCCTAATACTACGTCCAGCTTTTTTTCCTTTTTTTTTCCACCCCTCTCTCTTTCTCCGGTAGCTACCTTGTTACTTACTTGCCACGTTGTTTGAAGAAGAGAGAGTGCGCTTTTGTTTTCTTGCTGCTACTTATTTCCCTTGTTGATTTGGCAGGTTCCGTCCCCCCGCTTCAAGTATGTACACAGCGTGCGTGAGATATGTAGTGAAATGATGAAAGCAAAAAACTGGTATATGAGAACAGCTTTATATTTTTTTGTTTATAACTTATGTATGTCGAATATTAATTAATGCAGAGGGAGAGAAAGAGAGACAGAAGGGCGAACGTAATATCATTATACGCTTTTAATTTTGTTTTTTTTCTCCTTCTCTCTCTCTCTTCAGCACATCCAGACTGACGATACAACTTTCTTTTCTTATTCGAAATCAAATCTCCGCTCATATGCAAGGGGGGCGGCGGAAGTTTTCTCAAAAGAGAGAGAGAGAAGAAAAAAAAAAGGGGGGAGCGAATCAAAAAGAAAAAAATGCGACTGACAGGTGTCTGTATTGTGTAGCTGTATACACATACACATGCATATACATGATTTAATCAATCACCCATCTGACTACTTCTACTACTACTATCCCCCCCCCCCTTTCCTCCCTGTCTCCCGCCGCTGCTCGTATTCTCTTTTCTTCCATGCCCCGGGAGAAGATCAACGATGCGCCGGCTGCAGGCGAAAGCAATCTTTCCACCCCCCAGACACCCTAACTTATTTTTCTTCAGTTAGTCTTGCGTTTGGTTCCCTTCCGGGCTCTTTCCTGTGTGGTATTCGGGCCGGATGTCGAGCAGCTGAGTTGGACCTAGTCAGCATCTTCTAGGGGGGGTGAGACTCAAGTCACTGGGCTTTTCTTGGTGTGTTGCGAATGGGTTAGGGGGAGGGGGGGAGAGGTTTGAGGGGTGTCTGGGAGGAGTTTCATGGGTTGTGGGGGGGGGGGGGGAAAGAAGTGGTGATTTGAAAGAGTGAGGGGTGGTGGTGGTGGTTATGTGTTTCTTTTCTTTTCTTTGATTTGGAAAGGTGCGAGGGTAGTCGTGGAAGGTGTAGCGCGCGCGGAGGATTGAGGAGAAAAGATGGGTAGGTAGCTAGTAGGCGTGATGATGTAAGGCTTTTTTTTTTGAACAGGGAATTTTCTAATTACTATTACTTTTTTTTTCTGGGAAAACAAGGTTTGCGTATACCAAAAAGGTAAGCACGACAAAGTTTGTTTTACTAACAACGACGTCAGATGGGGAAAAAGTCTTGCTTGAAGAATACCCAGAGTTGCGGCTTGGCTTGCATCAGCCACGGCAGAAGCCACGACACCAGCCACGGGTAAGCCGGACGGAGCCAGGGGTGCCCAGAGCGCCATGTGGAGGTGCCCAGACAACGCCGCCAATTTAGAGTGGGCTTTGTTATACAGTAAACACTTACGTATGTACTATGTAGGTCCGTTATGTGCAGGTGCTCAGTGCGGCATATCTGGCAGCAATGTATGCCATGTACAGTACATATTCATGGATATAGGTACATGTATACGTATGCATCATTTATGGCTTTTCTATCCAAGACCCACCACCAAGACGTGCCGATTAGCCAGGAACATGGCGAATCGGGGACAGTCAGATGTATGTCACAGAACTGACGCACCTCGAGGCCCCCCGCTGGACGGGCTGAAGGGCAAGGTGGTGCAGTGCAGATGGGTGGGCTGTGCAGCATCCCACTCGTTCGTACACATGGGTGTATGTAAGTAGATACATGGGTGGGCAGATAGGCTGCCCGCTAGAGGCTCTGGTACATGTACGTACAGGCAATGTAGTACGACGCGGGCGGGCGTATGTGCATGTGTAGATGGTTTAGCCGCCCGCGTATAGTAGTAGATATGGATAGGTACTCCGGGGGGCGCGCTGTCTAAGCAGCTAGGGTTGGGAGTGCGGCATTTGAACACGCTGACGGCAGAGTCGTCGTCGTAGGAGGAGTCGTCGTCTTCGCTATGAAGGGAGTAGCCGCAAGATCCGGTAGGCGCTCCTCGCAGCCGATGTTGGCGCAAGAGACAGATTGCGGAGCCCGGCCTCGTTCAGCCCTCTGTTGTGCGTGCACATACAGGCCTAGATATGCGGCGGCCCCCAAGCCCTCTGTTTTTGTCCGTCGCCCCCTTAAACCTAAACGCCCTGCCAGAGGAAACATCTGCAACTCCCTTTTTTTCCCTCGATTTTGACTGAGCAGAGCGCGCGTAGTACATGTTGTGAGCCAACGTCCTGCCAACGGGCGGCGCATCATCAAGCAATACTTGGCTGCCGCGGACCGATCACCAGGGCCTTGATTGAACGCGTAGCCACGCAGCCCACGCAGCCCACGCAGCCCCCCCTCGCCCCGGCGGCGGTGCAGTCGGCAGACCGAGGCTGGCCGCCAACATGCCCCGTCCTACATTTACCACCAGGCTCTCGCTTCCGCACCGCCTCAAGCGCCCGACCAGCTGCGTCAACTCGTCCTCGACCCCAAACACGCAACCTCCAGCCTCCTCCGTGCCTGCCTCGCGCAACAGCAGCCCCCGCACCCGCCCAATGCCCGAGCAGCCCGCCCCAGCTGGCCTGGTGTTGAGGGTCAACGTCATCAAGGGCAGAGACCTGGCTGCAAAGGACCGCAGCGGCACCTCTGATCCCGTGAGCGCCCATTCACCCCGCCCACATGTCGAGCTGTCGAGCTGTCGAGCTGTCTAGCACATGTGCGCATATGCACGCAACACAAACACACGCTAACACCGCCTTCACAGTACCTCGTCCTCACCCTCGGCGACGCCAAAGTCACCACCCCCGCCATCAACAAACAACTCAATCCAGAATGGAACGAGACGCTCGAGCTGCCCATTGTCGGCGAGCAGAGTCTCCTGCTCGAGGTTGTCTGCTGGGATAAAGACCGCTTCGGCAAGGATTACATGGGCGAGTTTGACGTCATACTCGAGGATCACTTCCAGAACGGCCTCACCCAGCAGGAGCCCCAATGGTTTCCCCTCGAGGCCCGCCGCTCCGGCAAGAAGAAGTCGGTCGTCTCGGGCGAGATCCAGATGCAATTCACCCTTATTGACCCCCACAACCTCGCCGCCAGCCCAGAACAAACACTGCAAAAGTTCTTTGCCATTGCAGGTCAGGCGCCCAGCCCCGACGAGGATGACGAAGACCTCGGCGGCAACAGCAACAGCAACAGCACCGACGCCGAGGAAGACGACGACTCGAGCTCAGACGAGGCCCAGGATGAGTCCAAGAAAGCTGAGAAGAGGGAGAAGCGGCGCAAGAAGCTCAAGCTTGCGCGCTTGAAGCGAAAGGTCAAGGGCCAGACTGGCTACGCCTACTCGAGCAGCGGCGATGTGGCTGGTGTTCTTTTCCTTGAAATCCAGCGATGTTCCGATCTGCCACCGGAGCGCAATGGTAAGTTGTCTTTGCGCTACCAGGCGCCTTCGCAGACTGACGTGCTTCTAGTGACACGAACCACATTCGATATGGATCCCTTTGTCATCACATCGCTCGGAAAGAAGACATACCGCACCAAAACGATCAGACACGACCTCAACCCCGTATTCGACGAAAAACTCGTCTTCCAAGTCATGCGCCACGAGACCAATTACTCGGTCAGCTTTACCGTCATGGATAAGGATAAGTTCTCAGGCAACGACTACGTCGGTATGGTGAACTTTCCGCTCGAGAAGGCGATTTCCACAGCTCCCCAAGAGGATCCAGAGACAGGTCTCTACAAGCTCCCCGAACCGTCAGATTCGCCCGGCGTCTCTCCCGATGGCGGGTCAAAAAAGTCGCGCTTTCGCATCCCAATGTCCCGCTCTGGGTCTAATCACAGCCTTTCTCGTTTGGGTCGGCCATCACTTAAGAAAGAGTCGTCGACTGGCTCGCTTTCCGTACAAGATGTAAGCGGAACTCAGCCTCCATCACCAGGGGCTCCGCCCAGTGCCCTTACCGACTCCAACGGTAACCTTACCCCGGGCAGCACGCTCAACCTCCAACCATCGGCTGTGGACGATGAGGACCTGAAAATGTACACTCTTCCCCTGGAATTGAAGCACCAGGAGCGCTGGGAGAACAAGCACAGCCCAACACTTTACATTCGCGCCAAATATCTCCCTTACAAGGCTCTTCGGCAACAGTTTTGGAGAGCCATGCTCAAGCAGTACGATGCTGATGAGAGCGGTTTACTCGATAAGGTCGAGCTCACCACGATGCTCGATACACTTGGCTCTACGCTACATGAAGCAACCATTGACAGCTTCTTTGAGCGATTTGCGTATCGCCACAACGGAGAACACCTCCTTACGTTTGATGAGGCTGTAATCTGTCTTGAGGACCAGCTGCAAGCCACCGAAGCAAGGAACGCCAAGGGGGACGGATCTTTTGCATCGGGCTCACAGACACCAATGACCTCTGGAATGCTCACTCCGATCAACCAGAGCAGCTCTACCACTTCCATTCCAGTCTTGGAGACCAATACCCTGGGCAAGGAAGGCGAAGAAGGAGCTGATATTCAGATTGACGACTTGGCGGATGACAAGGGCGAGGAGCATGTCATTGAGATTCGCGAATGTCCCATCTGCCACCAGCCGAAGCTCAATAAGCGATCAGACGCCAATATCATTACTCACATTGCTACATGTGCAAGTCAGGATTGGAGACAGGTTAACAACATTGTCATGGCTGGCTTTGTTACATCAAGCCAGGCTCAGCGCAAGTGGTACTCCAAGGTCATCACCAAGATCTCGTACGGTGGCTACAAGCTGGGTGCAAACTCGGCCAATATCCTTGTTCAGGATCGTCTTACGGGCCAGATCAATGAAGAGCGCATGAGTGTCTATGTCCGCCTTGGTATTCGTTTGCTTTACAAGGGTCTGAAGGCGAACAACATGGAAAAGAAGCGAAGTAGGTTGCTGATTCTGTCATGGATTCACAAATGCTAACCATTGATAGTCCGCAAGCTTCTCAAGTCTCTCAGCTTCAAGCAGGGTCGAAAATACGACGACCCTGCATCTGCCTCTGAGATTATCCCCTTCATCAACTTCCATCAACTCGACATGTCAGAGGTCCTGTTGCCCACGGACCAGTTCAAGAACTTTAACGAGTTCTTCTACCGCGCACTGAAGCCAGGTGCGCGCCCATGCTCTGCACCCGACGACCCAAGGGTAATTGTGTCACCTTCCGACTGCCGATCCGTTGTTTTCAATACCATCGACTCAGCACAGGCCATCTGGGTCAAGGGTCGTGACTTTACCATCGAGCGCCTGCTTGGCGACGCTTACCCGCAAGACGTAAAGCGCTACCATGGAGGATCACTCGGCATCTTCCGACTGGCACCGCAAGACTACCATCGTTTCCACATCCCTGTCGATGGTGTCCTGGACGAACCAAAGACGATTGAAGGTGAATACTACACTGTAAACCCAATGGCTATTCGCTCAGCGTTGGATGTGTACGGTGAAAATGTCCGAGTCGTTGTTCCCATTGACTCTGTCGCACATGGCCGTGTCATGGTTATTTGTGTAGGCGCCATGATGGTCGGTAGTACGGTTATCACGCGCAAGAAGGGTGAGCAAGTCAAGCGTGCTGAAGAACTCGGCTACTTCAAGTTTGGTGGCAGCACCCTGTTGCTCCTTTTCGAGCCCGGCCAAATGCGCTACGATGAGGATCTTGTGGAAAACTCCAACTCTGCCCTTGAGACTCTTGTAAGTATCACTAGATTCCACCTTGCGTTGATTCTGCTAACACTCTGCCAGGTCCGCGTCGGCATGTCCATTGGCCACAGCCCCAACAGGCCAGCTCACGTCCCAGACATGCGCAAAAGCAACCCTACCAGTGAAGAGAAGCAGGATGCCAAGCGCCGTATTGAAGGTAGCTTGGCACCTGCAGGCGTCAAAGGACCTATGCCTGGCGCTGGCATGTAGAATAGATCGCGTTAGAAGTATGCAGTAAAAAGGCATACACAAAAGGCATGGACAGGCTTGGATATTCAGTATCGTTCTGGTGGTGCGCTTGGCGTAACGAGGTCATGATGGAATGTAAGCATACGGATCAGCGGCGTGGGTTGTCGCTTTTTCTCAGGCGTTTCTAAGAGATTTTCTTGAGTTGTGGTGGATAGGGTGCATCCTAGATAGATATCGTATTATGTACATATACTTAACATTTACCGACTTGCATGCATGTTTGATTGTCGCGCTGTGGGGAACGCTAATCAGCTAGTCACGTGCACGCGCTAGTCCTGAAAGCATTGTTTTGATGATGCTGGCGGCAGGTGCACACACCAACTTCCTTGCTCCCGTGTGACGACCGTTCCCCTCCACGCCCGTCGCCCAAGGATATTCACGTTACCGCCTAATCATTACGCACGCCCTGCCGATACTACGAGCATAACTTGGATCCCACGCGCATTGCCTTCACTCGCGCCCAACTTTACTCGACGATAGCTCGCCTGTCTGCCGCGCCCATGCACGCGCTTTGACCGAACACCAACTCTCCGAACCCCGTGACGCAGAAACTGGACTCATGACTACCATCTTCGCGCGCTCCCCGCTGCAATCGCTTCCTATGGCCACAAACCGACCGACGACGCGACGAAGGAGCGCAAAACAAGCTTTCGACGATGACGATGCGCCGCCTGTACAGAAGCGGCCAAGGACGGAAGTGAATGGGACGACCAAGAAGCCAACTACTGCGCCAAAGAAGAAAGCCAAAGCTGCTGCGTACGACGAGGACGATGATGGCTTCCAATTCTCGCGTCGCACGTCGCGAAGGACCACGAAAGCACCCCCGGTACCGGAACCAGAGCCCATACCCGTAGAGAAAGCTGTGCAGCCCGCGCGTCGCAAGAAGCAATCGATTGCGGCAGTTGACCCAGAATCATCAGACTCCGGGAAAAGACGGAGGTCAGCGCGTATTTCTGGTGATAGAGAGCAGTTGGAGGTTCGGACAAAACCCAAGGAGCCTGCTGCAGCAAAACCGCGGACCAAGAAGAGCGCCGCCCCTGTGGTCAAGGAAAAGAAGAAGCAGACTACCCCGGCTCCGGAAGTGCAACCACAAGCAAACGCGTACCCCGGCGTGCAAACACCCACACACAATGAGTTGCAAAATGCGAAGAAGCGCGATCCAAACGCGCAAAGAATCATGCTGCCTTTTGCAGATACACCAGTCATTACGCGGAATAAGGAGATGCGCAAGGGGAACAAAGATGGGCACCGGAGAAGCAGTACAGGCTTACGAGGGAGGAGAGCAAGCTCCCTGATTGATAGTGGTCAGTCGAATGGTGAGTTTGGACAGATTGTGCATGCACAAAGCCAATGCATTGGGCAGCGCGTCTGGCAAGCAGCACATGCTAATTCCTGTTACAGCATTACCTCATTCTGAAGTCGAAGTCCGAGAGTTTTACAAGTACATTGAGCAAAGTCTACCCGAACCGCGGCGAATGAAGCAACTCCTGACATGGTGCGGATCTCGAGCGTTACCGGCGAAACCATCAGGAAACGTTAAGAATGCGAATGCGATCATGGCTGGTATGTGGGGGTAAATCGCAAGATTGAGGATAGAGAGGCTAATTCAAACCAGCTCGGGCGATTGAACAAGAACTTATCGATGATTTTGCTGGCAAACCCGAGTTATCAGATTGGTTCAGCAGGGTATGTGTGCTAGTTTTGGTATGCAAAGAGCTCCAAATTGACAAGTATACAGGAAGAGACTGCGCTACCACCAGTAGTGAAGAAACCGAATCCACAAAACGAGAAGAACCAAGCCACATTAGAGGAACTAGAAGCAGAAATCAAACAGTATGTTTGGGTTTCTACAGAATACAAAAAATATGGCATAACTGACTTTGAGCGTAGACTAGAAGAAGAAAAAGCCGCATGGGAAGCCATAGCCTCATCCTCAAAAACTATGCCTCCACCCCCCGCACCCTCAATACCCACATCCACCCCCTCACTATCCGACATCGACATCTCCTTCCTCGACCCCTCCCAAGCCGCTATCCTCTCCGCCCTCCAATCCTCCTCACAATCACAACCACAATCCGCCCCACAACCCCCTTCATCAGCATTCACATTCACATCCCCAACAGCATTACAAACGCATCTCACGTCCCTTGCCGACTCCCTTGAACCCCATATCGACCTCTTCGCAGACGGCGTCCACAAAATAGAGCAGTACAGACAGACGGCTGAGCGCGTGGCTGAGCGGGTGCTGGGCTCCGCGGCGAAGCGGCTCGAAGAAAGAGACAAGGAGGCGAAAGAGCGGGCGGGAACGCAGGGGATTGGCGTTGGTGATGTACTTAGGGGGCTTGCTGGTGTGTTGGGGGAGCGATAAAGAGAAGAAAGAAGAAGAATGAGATATTTGTTCAGGGGGGGTCTTTTTTCCCCTCCGCATCCCCCCCCCCTCCCTTTGAGAGAAAGAGAGAGAGTGTGTGTGTGGAATTAAAATAAGATTTTGACTGTGTCAATGACTCCTTTTTTTGAAGGGGGTTACTCCTTTCTATCTCTCTCTCTCTCTCTCTCTCTCTCTTTTCTTCCCTTTGAGGGAAAGGAGGGGGGAGGGGGGAGAGAGTTTGCAACGCCCTCATGGTATGAGAATGAATCTATGTCGGAGTTGGTGTTCTTTTGTTTGGTTCTCTTCTTCTAGACCGGTTGGTTTGCTCCCCCCCTCCTCCGTCCGTGTGTTTTCTTGCAAACTTTAGCATTTTACGCGGCATCGTGGGTGTTTTTGTTACCTGGGTCGGTCGGTTGGTCGGACGGTCAGTCAGTCATCCGTTTGCTTCTTTTATATATATATAGGAATAGGCAATTTTCTTTTTTTTTGTAAATTGGGGAAATGGATTGAGGAGTGTGAGATGATGATATACCAGATTCTGCTAGCTGTTTTCTTTTTTTGAGGTTTAAAATTTTGCTGGTTTTTTTACGCTGAAACATATATATAGTTATATGTATTGATCGTGAAATTTTATCTGTCCTTGCTCCCCCCCCCACCCTGTTTAAAGCCGTGAAATATGCTTAGAGAAAAGAAGTGTGCTAGATGTGTATCTTGTCCATCAACATGTGATGTTTAGTTCCTAACACACCAAATCGCCAGTCTCGCAATCTCGTCCTCCAAATCTAGCACGAACCCCATTGTCAAACGGAGAAATAGCAGACGCTGCTCGAGATACACGAGAACGTCTGTGTCCGTCTCGACGAGCTGGTGGGGCGTGCGGCCGAGGAGCTGGCACCATGCACTGTCTGAGAGGATGAGTTTGCCTGAGCCGATTTGGCCTGTTTCGTCAAGTATGGGACCGAGCTACATATGTCCCAAATATCAGTTAATTGTTTGGTCAGTGAAAGACAGGGCAAGGGAGGAGACTCACGATTCTAGGATTAATCCGTAGAGTAGCTACATTCTCACAATGCTTACATTTCACATTTACGCTATTGGCAAAGAGCGGGATACCGCAGCACTCGTTGCTCATAAGCATGTTGCGCTTGAAGGGCGTGACGATGTTGAGGCCTGTGATGACTACGCTGAGGTAGCCGACTATTCTTTCCTTCCTGCCAGAATTGGACAGTGAGCGGGCGACGGTGTCGACGTCGGCAAGCGTGTACAATGCTTTTATAGCCGCGTTCTCGAAATCATAGATTGCGGTTGGGGGGATGGTGAAGGGAGGGTTCACGTGTTCACGCTTTGTGAGGCGTTGGGCCATTGCGCGGAGACGCCGGGCGTCGCCCATGTCGGGGTCGATGTCGACTCGTGAACCGCTTGTGATTGTGAGTTTGGCCATTTTGTCAATGCGCCAGCCGGGGTTCGAGATGAGTAGGATGGTCTTGAATGGCGTGAAGAGAGATGCGGAGTCGCACATGGAGGAGTATAGAGTCAGGAGGCCATCGGCTGTGTCGTCAAAGATGCTCAGGGAGATGAGCTCGGAAGTTGTGCCGTTGCGGTTCATGTCTAATATGCTTAGTCCTTAGATGGGTAAATGTAAGACGAAGTTCGACATACACTTCTTCTTTGCTCCAATGCTCCTCACACAGACAAGCAGCTTGGGTTCGTCGACATCATACCCGCCATCCATGAAGCTCTTCAATGTCATCAGCCCGGCGAGTTCCCTACTATCTTTCACACCATACGGCCTTCTGAATCTGGTTCCATCATCACTCCCCTCATATACCGCAAAATGGCAGTTTCTCTCGCCTTCGGGAAACATACTCGTGAACAGTGGTGCCGTGCTAGGCGCCAGTGCGTTGAATTCAGACGAGTTCGAAATGTGCACCGTCCATATGCCAACGAGTTGGCCAAGCTTCAGCTTGTATCGAGGTTCGGCATACCAGAGGCGTACAGTGAGTACCCCTGTGTCGTCTGCAACCATAACTTTCATGCATCCTTGGGCCGCTTTGTGTGACTTGCTAGGTCGAACTTGCTCATTGAAATTCACTATACGGCCCGTGAGAGCAAGGTTACATGGTCCAGGTTCGAGAGAGCCTATATCGACTTCTTTATAGTCCAAGGTAGGCTATGGTTTGTTAGCATCGACTTGATAGGGGGTATTGAGGTAACGTACTATCCATGTACTCGCTGTGTCTATTCCTGTCGGGGCAAGAACGGACTGCATTTCCCCTGCAGTGAAGCCATCGCTGTTCTTTGATGGCGAGGATGAAAAGTAGAACTGTATCGACGATGGCGATGGCATTATCGAACGTGATATTCTGGTTCTTGTGCAGATACAAATGTTTTGAGGTGAGGGTTGGTTCGAAAAACACAGTCGCTCCTTCCTCTTCCAACTACCTGACCAAAACAACATCAACATCTGCCTGTAGCGTAATAATATCGAGATTCATGTCAAAGCTGGTGTACAAGGCCTGCAACTACAACAATTATTTTAAACCCGGTAGGAATCGTCTCGGTTTACGTGTCGTGGTGGTGCCCAGACATTATC